AACAAATAGAAGTTTTGCGAGGTTTTGATTTCCCTCAACAACTTCTCAAGAACGTTGCATTTACGTTGTATAGTAATGTTATTACGTTCTCTTAATGCAACATCGCCTAAAGGTTTGGCAACGTTGTGTGCTAGCTGGGTAGACAGTGTAAAGGCGAGTCTTAAATAATAAATAGTATTAAATAATATTATGTCTAAGATTCATACCACAAGAGAAAATAACGATTTCTGAGAAAACATCTTTTGAACATCATAGACCCAATAGACCTATTTATTAATGATCTCTATTACTCATGCGCAAATCCTAATTTCTCTTACAATCATCAATCATCAATTTGTTGTTATGTTTTCTACCCTCAGTTACAATAATTCACACACCTAGATGACTATACAGCCCAAGAGAGACATCCGACACGGCAACAATTGAAAAGTCTAGTAAGCCGCCATTTTGCCAGAAATCTGTCAAAACATATATACAACCAACAATCCATGGTAATGTGAAAGCCAGACAGTATGCAACCAACATTATGCGTTTTTATTAAACAAATTGCATGCATTAAGCTCCTTTGTTACTAGGCATTTTATATTATTAAAAAAAATTGTTTGTCCACGACCACTTAATAATAAATCAATATTCTACCTCCTAACTAAGAGCATATAGTACCCATATATCACAGAGTGAATTATGATAATTCACGCTTTTGTAATTATGGCACATTCCGGTAGATAAACATCGAAAATCAAAAATCAAAAAGCGAAAATCGAAAAATTGAAAAGTGAAAAAAAAAAAACAACAGTTAGTTACCTATGTTTAATAAAAACTTTCCATTCTACACTTAACTTTTATTTAATAAAGAAACCATAATGGTCGTGGACAAAGTATAGTATTAGACTCGCAATTTATGGCCATTATTCACTCAGGTGACTTGCGCCCCTCGCCTACGGCTCGGGACGCAAACGTCACCCTGCGTGAATAATGGCTACCATAAATTACTCGTTTAATAATATACTATTATGCATCAACTATTATTTTGTAAAATTGCATTATTACATATTCCTAATATAATTCACGAACATAAACGAAAACAATGCAAAACACTAAAATATCATCGGCATTATCGACATCGAAAGTTGACACTTAAATCTGACAATTAGCTGGCAAAATGGCGGAATATTTTATCCCGTTTCAGTAGACACTCAGATCAGATGCGCAGTCGTTCTTTAGTCGTATATTTCTCTAGGTGTGTGCAATAATTACACATCCGCAAATGTTATTTTGATTTTGCGTTTGATAGCGAGAATTTGTATGTAACTTTTATTATTGATAAAGGATCCAGTCACATTTTAAGCGTGTTGTTTGACAAACCTCGTATACGACTAATAAAATTTAATAGCTGATGGTTGTATTGTAGGTTTTAGATCATGCACAATTTTTTATGGAGAATACATTTTTCTATAAACTAACAATAAAAATGTTTATTTACAATCATATATGAAATGTTGTCATTACTAACGTCATTGAAGTTTAAGAAGTGTCACATTACACACCTCTACTTCCCGCCCTCACTTCCCGCCCTCACTTCCCGCCCTCATTTCATCTATTCTAGATAAATATTTTTTATAATTAAAAAAAAACACATTTTTTTAAAAAAATTTATAATACCTATTTAAAGGCAAACAATAAAAAAACAACAATGAACTAAAAAACAACAAACTACTTATTGATATTTATTATTCGCGAATTTAATATCCGGCTTCATCTAACATTTATTTATATTGGTGACGGTTGTTTACCCCGTAATCACAGTAACAATATATTTACTTAATTATTCTGAGAAAACCGCGCGCTTGGTAATTTGTCGTTAAATGTAATATTTTAGGTACGTTCAGAACGAAACAGAGATTTATTAACTTTGATCGAAATATGATGGTTGTAAATAAAATAGTATACAAACCTCGGTAGGCAGTTTCATTCCTGTCTCAAAATCATAGCTAACCTCGACGCTTCGCGTCTCGGTGATCTAACTAATCTCACAACAGGAATGAAACTCTTCCCACCTCGGTGTGTAATATACCATATGTTGCCAACTTACGTAGACAAACTGTATGAAAGTTGAAGATAATAAAAACTGGCCGTGCAATAAAAATTAAAGGTGATTTTTTTGACAGTGGACAAATGCAAGATGACATCCATCTCACTATTATCCGATTCTCGCATACTTAATTATAGGTTTAATATTTAATAACGACTACCATCAGATATTAATTATTGTCAAAGTACAAGTTAAGATCTCGTGAACGTTGTAAAATAAACCGAAAATAACAGTTATTTTAAAAAGTTTATTTATTTAAGTTAAAACTAGGGCCCTAGAAATAATCTCACAAAATATAAATCGAGCTTAATATATTTAGATAAATAGCAAAGTGTAAGAATAGAAAAAAATCGGAAAAAAGTGAAAAATAAGAAAGATACATAACCAAGATTTAGTTTTTGTATTGGGAAATAATCAGATTAAATTACTTAAGCTAAAGCTCTCGGAATCTAATTAGATTATAAATGACAAAATTATATCGAGACAAAAATACTCAAAATTTAGATCCAATAAAAATAGTCGACTATTTATCAAGGTTTCGTAATTATAATATCCTTGAATATCTCTTGAACATTAGATAAGTATACGAGGTGTGACAATTAAGTAATGAGACTGATTTCATAAAATCCGTATATTTAAAAAAAATTTCTACAACTTTGCCATACCCTTTAAAGTAGTCCCCTTGGGCAGCTATACAACGATTCCAGCGCGTTTTCCAGGCTTCGACTGGGATGTCTGCGAGTACCCTCGTCATGGTCTTTTGGATGTCCGTAACCGACTCAAAATGGGTTTCTTGACCATCATTTTGCTCTAGGGAACAGAAAATAAGTCACAGGGTGACATATCAGGTGAATAAGGCGGCTGTGAAAACACGGCGATCCCTTTAGAGGCCAAATATTGGGACACGCTGAGGGCGGTGTGGCAATTCGCGAATCGGAGACAACACTAATTATTTGTAGTGCGCATGCGTAGACCTTTTATTTGTACATCGATCTCATTTTGACAGAGTAGGTGAGCTGTGTCCAGGCCGTTGGTGTTTATGCTGGTCGGTGTAGCCACTTTACGAGAAGTCATTGCTTCTTCTTGTTGTCACGGCGTTAATATTATTTGTTTATGTATATGTGAAATTTGCTTCTGAGATTTATAAAATACTACTGCTAGTCATGGCGTAAATGAAAACAAACAAGACGTATTCACATAAACACCTCCCTCCACAGCAATTACAAATGATTAGTGTTGTCCCCGATACGCGAGTGTGTGGCACGGCGCGTTGTCGTGAGGAAGGATCCAGTTGTTTGCGATGTCTGGGCGCACCCTGTTGATTTGTTTTCGCAATCTTTCGAGTACTTCGCGGTAGTAGACTTGATTTACGGTTTGCCCCAGTGGAACAAATTCTTTATGGACAACTCCACGGCTATCAAAAAAGGTAACGATCATCGTTTTCACCTTCGACTTGCTTATGCAAGCTTTTTTTGGACGGGGGGAGTGCGCAGACAACCATTGTGAGCTTTGTCGTTTGGTTTCCGGGTCGTATTGGAAAAACTAGCTCTCATCGCTTCTAATAACTTGATCAAGCAGCGTGGGATCGTTTTTCACTTGCTCCAAACAGAATTCAGCGACAGTCATTTGATACCACTTTTGCTCCTCAGAAAGATTCTTTGAAACCATCTTCGCACACAACTTTTTCATCACTAAATTGTCGGTTAAAATTTGTCTGACTGTTTCACGGTTGATACCCAGTTCCGAGGCCAACATTTGAACTGTTAGACGCTGATATTTACAGATTAGGGCGCGCACCCGCTGCACATTCGGGTTAGTCCGCACGTCGACTGGTCTCTCGCTCCGCGCCTGGTCTTCAGCGCTTTCACGCCCCTCCTTAAACTCTTTATGCCATCCAAACACCTGCGCACGACTGAGAGCACTATCACCATACACTTTTACGATTTTAGCGTATGTTTCCGAAGCGGTTTCGCCCAATTTGGCGCAAAATTTTATCGCGACGCGTTGCTCTAGATTTTGCTTCTCTATTTTCATAACGAACACCACCAACACCCGTCTACTAAACACTCCACAGCCGGCGAAATAAACAAACTGGAGATATGGTAAAAACATCAAGAGAAAGGGAAAGGATGTCGGGGAAGGGAAAAGGGAGTTTCGAGGTCGCAGGTTTACCACAAGCTCTGCAATAAAATCTGTCTCATTACTTAATTGTCACACCTCGTATATTGCTGACTTCTCAATCTAGGATTTAGGATAATTGTGCATCTTCATTATCTCCTGGTTTCAAGTCAGGCTCTACCAAGCTACCTGGAAATATTAAATATTAAAGTACCATTTTAGATAATTTCTTTAAAATTTAATAAAGCTGTTAATAAAATAATATAATTATGTCCTTGACGAAGTCACTTACAAAAATGCTCATTAGCTCTCTGACTACTACAGATAACGTACAATATAACCATGATGCTACTTTATAAAAAAAAAAGATAATACACGGTGACGTATTGTGGTGTTAAGCGTGGCATTTACGAATTTGAGGTATCAGCTGATCGAAAACAACGCGCAAAAATAAAGAATTTAAGTATCATACCTGCAATATATCGCCTTTCGGAGATGTGAAACTTTGGGTCCCAGTGAGTCTCCTCAAAGACCTTTTTTACTGCTTGGAAGAGATCATCATCATTATCGATGATTAAACTATAGGCCAAAGTTAAAGAAATGTTTATAATTAATTATTAAATACAGAAGGTTATCCAAGGCTCAGATGCGGTCATTTTTAATGATAGCCTTAATTATTTCCACACAAAAAAATACGTATTAATTAATTAAAAAAAAAAAAAAATCAGTTTACACCGCCCCACCTGATTCCTAGGACTCCTTCAAATTCGTACTGAATTGGCCCTATATAATATTGGACTCCACTCCTTTGAACACAACCGTTTATACTTTTTGCACATATTTCTCTTCTTTTCAAAAATTATTTCTATTTTTCTAATAATTTTATTAATAGTTACAATACATTCCCACCTTCTTCTTAAGATCAAAGTTTTATTCTTTCGGCATGGCCACTTCGCCCATACTCCCGTACTTAATATAGGAATTGGCCATAGTATGCTACCAGTTGTTATATAAAACTCATTTATTAAGTAACTTTTACTGTGTTGTTCTTCTATTATAGGACTTTTAATGACATCAGTGCCGAAACCGGTTGCCATGTAACTTTTTAATTGTTAATTTTTTTTATGGGGGATTGATTAAGAGTATCATTTCTTAAGAAATAATTATTAATTTTCCAATTAAAATATTTTGTAGGATGAAATATATGAAGAAATGATATCGATTCTTGGCACTTCAGGAACTCATCCGACATATCAAAATTTAGTGGATTTAAAATTTATGGAAAGATGCATAAAAGAATGCCTAAGACTATATCCAAGTGTTCCATTCATTTCAAGAGTAGCAGGACAAACAATCAAAACACATTCAGGTTATACTATTCCCAAAAATTCAGTTTTAAATATTTATATTTATGACTTACATCATAGTCCACAAGTTTGGGAAGATCCTGAAAAGTTTGATCCAGATAGATTTTTGCCAGATAATATTGCTAAGAGGCATCCATTTGCCTATGTGCCATTTAGTGCAGGTGCAAGAAATTGTATAGGTATGAATTTTTTCTAAATCGTAGCAGTTGTAACGTGATACTTCATATTTTATCTATTTGTTACAATGTGTTTAAGCTCAATTGATTGGGCGTGGATTAGGTTATTAAATAACTCGAATAACTTTGAAAAAGAAGTTGGGCACCACTATATTTAAAACTTACTATACTTGACTAAATACTTGAGTGTAAATCAGCAAAGGTACATACAAAGTAATAAATATAGTAATGCAAGTTCTCTGTTAACCTAAAGTTAACCCAAATATGAAATTTTGCAATACTCAACTAAATTATTATTATTATTATTCATTTTTTAGCACTATTGATTTAAAAAGTGCATACCATCAAATACCAATTTGTAAAAAAGATAGACCCTATACTGCTTTTGAAGCAGGTGGAAATCTTTATCAATTTCTACGAATTCCATTCGGGGTTACCAATGGGGTGGCAGCCTTTCAACGGGTTATTAATTCAATTATTCAAAAAGAACAACTTCAAGGAACATATTCGTATTTAGATGATGTAACTATTGGTGGTGAAACTCAAAATGAACATGACATCAATCTCAGCAGATTCTTAGAGGTGGCAAGAAAATATCAGTTAACATTAAATAAAGAAAAATCAAAATTTTCCTTAACTTCAATCAACCTTTTGGGCTATAATATAGAAAACAATACAATAAGACCAGATCCCGATCGATTACGTCCACTGCTTGAGCTCAATTTTCCCTCTAATCAAACTTCTCTTCGGCGTGTATTAGGTATGTTTTCCCATTATGCAAAATGGATACCTAGATTTTCAACTTTAATACAGCCACTTATTCAATGTAAAATATTTCCAATTTCCTCAGAAGCTGCAGATTGTTTTAATACGATCAAGTCGAATATAGCCAAATCGTTTGTTTCCGCAATTAATGACAAACTTCCATTTGTTGTGGAAACTGATGCCTCAGAATTCGCTATAGCTGCCACACTATCGTAAGACAATAGACCGGTGGCATTCTTTTCGCGCACTCTATCAGAAACAAAAAAAAGACATTCTGCTGTTGAAAAAGAGGCTTATGCCATTGTGGAAGCGCTTAGAAAATGGAGGCACTATCTTATTGGTCGACCGTTCACCCTTATTACTGATCAGAAATCAGTAACATTTATGTTTGATACTAAACATCCAGGAAAAATAAAAAATGACAAAATTTTAAGATGGCGATTGGAACTTTCCAGCTATAGATATGACATTGTTTATCGTCCTGGCAAATTAAATAATATCTGTGACACCTTATCAAGAGCTGAAAACTTGTCAAACGTATGCGCTAACGTATCGCCAGGATATGGAAATCGTCTTATTGAATTACATAAATCACTATGTCATCCTGGGATTACTCGTATGACTCACTGGGTACGATCGAAAAATCTACCATACTCAATTGAAGAGATTAGAAAAATAATACTATCCTGTCCCGTTTGCTCTGAAGTTAAACCACGCTTCTACAAAATTCAAAACAATTTAATCAAGGCTACGAAGCCTTTTGAAAGACTTTCATTAGATTTTAAAGGACCTCTACCTTCCACAACTCATAATAAGTATCTTCTTACTATAATTGATGAATATTCACGATTTCCATTTGCGTTTCCATGCAAGGATGTGTCTGCAGCAAGTATTATAAAACATTTATCAAGTTTTTTCTTTCTCTTTGGGTTACCAAGCTATGTACATTCAGACAGAGGCTCAGCTTTTATGTCGCAAGAATTAAGGGAATTTCTTCAATCTAAAGGAGTGGCGACTAGCCGGACAACTGCTTACAATCCACAAGGTAACGGCCAAATAGAAAGAGAAAACGGAATAATTTGGAAAACAATTCAGTTAACTACTAGATCAAAGGCCCTAAAAATTTCTCAATGGGAATTAGTCCTTCCGGAAGTTTTACACTCCATTAGATCCTTGCTATGTACTGCTACCAACACAACGCCTCATGAAAGAATGTTTCTTCACACTAGAAGATCAACAAACGGACAATCATTACCTTCGTGGCTATCTACTCCTGGAACTGTCTTCATGAGGAAACACAATCGTTCTAACAAATATGAACCATTAGTGGAAGAAGTGGAACTTCTAGAGGCTAATCCGGATTATTCGTCCGCTTAAGAGATGGAAAAGAAACGCCTGCATCAAATCGACATTTGGCCCCTAAAGGAGACGAAGGACATATTGTACATGACGAGCCTAAAGATGTGGAAACACCACCACCTGCACCACCCCGATGCTCTTTCGAAATTGATACAATTTCAGAAAACTCTTCCACGCCTGAATCTCGTACCGCTTATTCTGAGGAAACGGTGCCAACGCCTTTGATAAGTGTAGACGAAGAAAATACCAACGATATAAATTCATGTGACACAAACCAACTGAGACGATCGAGACGAACTAAAGAAACTCCAAAATATTTAAACGATTACTATCGTTTTTGAAGGTGGGAAGAATGTAGTATACATTATATGTATGTTGTTAATACTATATCACTCTGTATTGTTTTAATTTATAATTGTCAGTTACTAATTTAGTTGTCAATTTGTACGCTCTGTTTTTGTGGAATAAAGATATTTATTCTGGGTATTTACTACAATTGCTAAAAGAATAAATTCTCAAATTATAATTGAAAAAAGAATAAAGATATACAAACTTTTACTACTTGTATTAAAATATAATTTAAAGTTAGTTCAGATTCAATTAGTTATGCAATAGTGACTACTTAACCATACAAAGAAAAAAACATGAAATGCTAGATAATATACATAGTTCAAAGTCAACTTAGGTATTTTAAGATTGAATTTAAGGAAAAGGTAAACAAATATTACTCAAGTTTAATAACAATATATAGATATACTACCAATCAAGAGAAAAAAAAATTACTAATAAATGTTTCAGTTAAATAGTCATAATAAAGAATTAATTATAAAGGGAAGAAACTCAAAATCTAAAGAATATGTAGAATTTAATTTACTAAAATTTATTAAAAAGTAGGTAAAGACATTGAATAAATCACTGCACTAAGATTCAAATAGCAAGAAAAAATTATAAATATATTTCTATATACTCTCCTAATATGGTAAATGTAAACTGACGTCTCAGTTTCAAAAACTTGTACAGAATCATATTAATATAATTCGGACCTCACCTAAATTGGTAATTGCAAACTAGATAGTTTCAAATACATATCCTAAATAATACTAACAAATAAAGAGAAAATTAAGTTAACTAGGAAGTTAGGTAGAAATTTTTTAATAAAAAAATACTATTAGTAACTGAGTACATATTACCAAAAATTAAGGTAGCTATTTTAGACAGTATTGCTTAAAAAAAATAAGCAATAGCAGACAGTTAAAAGTTAGAAGGTAATGTATGGTCTGGCTCATAAATATTCCAATAGTGTAAAAAAAAATTGACTACAGGCGATATTACTTGGTCGTGTAGGTAATAGCAGAATAATAAAAAGCCAGATTCTAATTTTTTACTATTCTGGCCTGACATTAAGTATGAAAAAATTTAATAATATTTTAACTTATTAAAGGGAACGGTATGGACATTAAGGAAGGAGATATAATTCTAAATTACAGAATATATTATTCACTGTCAGAAGTATCATTATTAACGTTAGGTATGACTTCACTATCATTATCCTCAGATAAATCGTAATCAATATCAACGAAACTTTAAAAAAAAAAAAGTATAATACGTGTAAATAAATATGTGTAAATATGTATAAATAAACACTGGACCTAGTACAAAATACAGATATTATATAAAATTTGACGATACGATATGTAGATTTATAGAAACGGTTAAAATAGGAGGTAAGAAAGTATTAGTAAAAATATACAAGACATGCAGTTAGTATAGTTAACCTCTGTGAAATACCTATGGGAATTAGAACGATAAGTTATAAGAAATCTATTTTAAAGTTAAGAGCTATTTAACCCAGTAGTTGAGACGCCATTTTGTAACGTGATACTTGATATTTTATCTATTTTTTATAATGTGTTTAAGCTCAATTGATTGGGCGTGGATTAGGTTATTAAATAACTCGAATAACTTTGAAAAAGAAGTTGGGCACCACTATATTTAAAACTTACAATACTTGACTTTAGATTAGTGATAAAAATATAGAAAATCACTAACCACTAACAAATTATATTTAAACCAAGTTTTAGATAAGGTAGTAGCAAATTCTAATTCACATAGTTTTACTAAATTCAAATTTAAGATGATTTATTTAAAAACACTTAAACCCTAGTTAAAAAAAGATAATATAAGGAATGTTATTGCATGGTATATCTTCAGGCAACTTCAAAGGGATTCAGTATCCTTATTTGTAATTCTGCGACTTAAATGATCTCGTGGTATTTGGTATTCTAACTTAACTCGAAACGTATAAATCTTCTATAGATGAACCAAACCATGTACCAAAACCAAAACAAACTTCTAGGTATAAAAACCATAAAATTGCTTGATAGAAATCCAAAACTTCTTGATAGGAATTCAAAACTTCTTGATACGAATTCAAAACTTCTTAATAGGAATTCAAAACTTTTTGATAGGAATTCAAAACGTCTAGATATAAATCCACATAAACCGTCTAGATTTAAATCCAAATAAACGGTCTAGATATAGCCATGCTAAAAAGAAAGGGAAATGTTATGACACGAAATAGGAAATTTGAACAGGATTTAGATAAAATGCTTTTAACTATTAAATGAACAATTTAAACCTATTAAATGAATAATTTCACAGAGACTAAAATGAATATGAAATGGAAAAATCTTATTTAACATATTTAAACATAGTAAAGCATAATAACTTATTCCAAACAAAATAATATATAATTTTATATAAAATCAACATGTGTTACCCATTTTTGAGGTTATGTTCAAAATTTAACATTTTATATAAGAAATTCTTGTACAAAATATATATTTTCAACAATATATCAGTATTAAAACTTACCTTAT